ATATATATATGACGTATTGTGTTTCAAGTGCCACGAAACTCCTTCTGACAAAAAAAAACCCCAAGCCGTACAAACTTCAGGCTTTTCCTTTGAACCGGTGTAGCGGTTAGGTGACCCGAGTTCGATTCTCAAGTGGGGAGAACATTTTATTGAGTATCTCGGTATTTTTGCTGGTATGTATTCCTCTCAGCCCACCTCCAAAACGAACTAAATTTTATCGATGGGGACGTAAAAACTCCTACAATAAATAAATGTCCGTTTGATTCAAATTTAGGACCGTAATGTTTTAAAAGAGTGGAGGTTTGTGAGTTCGAAATCCTATATATTATTTTTCTTAGAAGGTTCCCGTTTAGAACCGTTCGTTGACAGAAGGATTAGGTCTGAGGAGTTATAAAAAGAGTGGAAATTTGTGAATTTCAAACATATGCGGATTATTTTTCTCGGATTGTTTCATATTTCTTTTCTTGTGAGTCGAAGCTGAAAAAGTCATATTCTTGCAATCGCACGATGCATAGTCTATTCCGATGTGGAGAATATAGACTATTATCGTATATTTTCTGTTCGTTCTCCTGTCAATCTATATTGTGCCGTTGGGGGTGTAAAATCACCTGCATTAAAAATAAACAGATAAATAAAACTGTCCCCGTGGTTTTATGCACCTCGCATAATTTAGCAAAATTTGACAATTTTTTGCATAATTTCTGATTATTTTCTTTTATCATTCTTTGTTAAAATTAACAGAATCGCATAATTTCACATTTTTTGGGCTCAGTTTTGCATAATTTCAGAATTTTTCTTGCCTAAAACGACGGGGAAATATAAAATAATACTCTAGTGATGTACGCTATCACGCACAGGTCAAACGGTCCCCGACAGGCAATCTCGAAAAGGTGAGCCTCCACAACGACCTAAAATGTGTCGACGGGGACGTAAAACATTACACAATAATACGTCATTCTACGAGCCGTCTCCCCCCGTTGTCAAAACCGACCACCTAGCTTGTTTTTCCAGGCTCTAGAACTCTTTACTGCCGCTGTCAACACAACATGTCTTTATGTAGGAGAAAAAATATCCTTGAAGGCATGGCAAGTGACACTTATATTGTCATTACGCTGTCAAGTAACAACTATGTCTGCAGGTTCTGAACAATGATTGTCGTCTCCGTTTTACGCAGAAAATGCGACTAAAATAAACGTCTTCGAGTTACGGCTTGGGACATTGGAAATAATCATGTTATTCGATTGTCGAGAGGCCAAGCCAAGCCAAAAAACAACAACAACCCACAAAAAAAACAATACCAACAAAAAATGCACAAACAAAAAACCCTGAACAAAATATAAAACACCAGAAAGCAAAGGAAAGAAAAGAAAAGGAAACCAAACCAAACAAAACAC